GCGTGGCCTCGTCTCGCCCCCCCCCCGGCATCCCCGCCCGATTGAGGTGCTGGTGGGGGAAGCCGGCCAGGCTCGCCTCTCTCCCTGCAATGGGCGCGAGGCCGGCCGGGCGCAGGGCGCCATCCACTTCCCGCCCCCCCGGGGAAGCAGTCCACACTCCCCCCCCATGGGGTCGAGGCCTCAGCGGGTCAAGGCTCATCCCTCTCCCTGCAATGGGCGGCAGCTTGGCCGGCCGGCTGTGGGCCCGCATCTCCTTCCCTGGACCCATCTCCTTGGCCCTCCCTCCGCGCACTCGAGGCCCCGGTGGGCCAAGCCGCCTGGCCTCATCTGTCCCCGCCACGGGGCGACAATATAGGCTGGGCCTGGCTCCCCGGCTGGCCTCAGGCACAGTGGCATGGTGCCATCTCCCCTCATCCGCAGACCGCACGGGGGAGGCGCAAGGGAACGGGCCGCTGCCGCCTCCCCGCTTGGCCACCCCAGTGCCCTTCCAGGCGGCTGGGCAAGGCCAGTGCGTGTCGGCCTGGGCCTCCTCTTGGCGGGTGGCGGCTCCTGGCTGCCGCAGCTCAGCAGCGTTGGCATGGCCCCACGTGGGGCCTGCAGGCCAAGTGAGGGTGTCTGGCCAGTGGAGCACCCGGCCCGGGCAGCGGCTCGAAGGAAACTGAGGGCAAAAGGGTGGTCGCTGCCTCCGTGGGTGGGAGGGCACCCACACAGGCAGCAGCACAGCGAATGGAGAGAGACGCCCCCTGTGAGTGACACACCAGAGCGCCAACCAATTCCGGAGCATGTGGAATGTTCTAGAGAAGTGCCACCACCACTCGGCTTTTATTTATAAGGGAGATATTCCTTTCGGCAGGGATCCCCAGTGTGGTGCCTGCAGGTGCAATGGCGCGCACCAACATCTTCACTGGTGCCCACCAGGGACGTAGGTGGGGCTTCTGCCCAGGAAAGTCTTCCGATTGGCCATTGGAGGTTTAATTGGCTGTGCAGGTTGTTGTTTTTTTAAGTGTTGCTTTGACAGCAGCTGCCACCGCTACATGAGGCTCTTCACTGCGGGACTGAAGGTAAGCTGTGGCGGTCATTTTGTGGCTAGCTCCACCTCCCGCAGCAGCCATTTTGTGACACCCATTTTGTGGCTGATCGAGCGCTCACCACACTGTGCCAGAATCCCAAAGGCTCCTGCAGGCCGAAAAAGACTGGGGACCCCTGACTTACAGCTTATATGGGCTCCTGCAAGGGCTCCCCCCCTGTTTTTTCTCTCAAGAGGGAAATTAAGTTTTCAGTCTGTATACTGAAAAATCATGAACTTTTAAACGCTTTTAAATTAATTTTGTCTAAGAGGTTCTGGAACTTTGTTGCCTGGAACTTTGTTCCCCCAGAAAAAAATCCCTGGCTCCTGTTAAACCTCATGTTGGACTCTTTTTTGAAAGCCTTGCGTTACGATACATAACAGAGTTTCCCTAGCATCTGTTTCCAAACTAACTCTCCAAGTCCTTACATTGTAATACGTTAAAATATTTTTACCTCGATTTGCAAGGCAGACCTTAAGAGCAGGTGTTCACTCCCTATATAACACTCGCACAAAACTAAACGAAGTGTAGCACCGCAAATTATTTTAACCACACCTATGATTAAAAATAAAACCATGGGCTATACGAACATGGAAAGATTGATCTCTCCCTTCAGTTTTTATGTACTGGGTCATTGCAGTAATGGAAAAGTGAGCTCAGCTTCCTTGGGTTCCCCCTCATGGATTATGTGTTTATTTCAACCGCTGAATAATGTTGGCATACGTGTCTGAAAACAAATAATATTCTGATAGTTCTTCTTGTGGGTTTTACGCAAGAGAGGCCGGACTACATCTGGGGCATCCGTCATGCCATTCCATGCTCAGATTCAGGGGGAAGAAAGAGGATCAAAGAGGGCAGAAAGATGGGCAGAAACTCTGGTGTGGAGGTGGGACAGGATCAGGTTGCTGAAGGGGGAAAGGTAGTGGTTAAGTGTGCGGACTCTAATCTGGGAGAACTGGGTTTGATTCCCCACTCCTCCACTTGCAGCTGCTGGATGACCTTGGGCAAGCCATAGTTCCGGCACAGCTGTTCTTAAAAAAGAGCAGTTTCTGTCAGAGCTCTCTCAGCCCCACCTACCTCACAGGTGTTATGGGGAGGGGAAGGGAAAGGAGTTTGTAAGCCGCTCTGAGACACCTTTGGGTAGTGAAGGGCCATGGGGTATAAATCCAATCTCTTCTCTTCTCTTCTCTTCTCTTCTCTTCTCTTCTAAGGCCTCCACGTTAAGAGTCAGTAAACCTTTGAATCCCAGTGCCAGGAGGCAATGTCAGGGGAAGCTGTTGTCTTTTTACTGGCCCTCTGGAGTAACTGCTTAACAGAAGAATATAAGGACATAAGAGAAGCCAGGTTGGATCAGGCCAATAGCCCATCCAGTCCAACACTCTGTATCATACAGTGGCCAAAACCCAGGTGCCATTGGAGGTCCACCAGTGGAGCCAGAACTCCAGAAGCCCTCCCACTGTTGCCTCCCAAGCACCAAGCATATATCTGTATCACTGCCCCAAACAGAGTCTTCCATCTATACCTTGCAGCTAATAGCCCCTACTCCATATGTTTCTCCAGTCCCCTCTTGAAGCTTATGCTTGTAGCCACCGCCACTTCCTGTGGCAGTGAATTCCATTTGTTAATTGCTCTTTGGGTGAAGAAGGACTTCATTTTATATGTTCTAAGCCTACCACTCATTAACGTCAAGGAGTGCCCATGAGTTCTTCTTTCTCGACCTCCTCCATCCCATGCATAATCTTATAAGCCTCTGTCATGTCACCCCTCAATTGTCATTTCTCCAAGGCCAGGGCAGGAGGCTTCACAGTCACGGGGACTTGGCCAACCCATTGACAAGGGAGAAGGCATTTCTAGCCTTCAGGGCAAGGAGGTCACAGGGACAGCTACCTGAAGCCATAGAAGGAGAGACCCTTCCTGTCCTAATGCTGGCCTCAGGGTACCCCAGGCCAAGGGGGCCTCAGGAGTCCTGCAAGACAGTTCCACAGAAGCTGAGCTGAAAGGACCAAGTGTGGGAAAAAAAAAAAGATCTCTCTCGCCCTGCTTTCCTCAGTTCTCAGTTCCTCAGATGACCAGTTCCACAGACAAAAAAGAAAAGAATCCGCCTCAGGCTTTCCTTGTGTGATATTGCCTCGGATGCAAGAAGATGGATGCAACAACCCCCACCCACAGGTAATGATCTTCACAGCAGCACGGTTCTTGGAGCCCCCCCCCAAAGTTGGGTTTATACCCCGTCAAACTAGCTTGAGTGAGAGGACACCAGTGTCCCCTTCGCATCAGGGTGCCCTACACTCAAGACTGCTACTGAGAACCACTGTGGTCTCCAGACAAATATCCCTTCTGAGGCCCTCTCCCCTCTCTGAGACTGCCCCCCAAGCCCCACCCCCAAGCCCCACCCACCCCTCTCCCTCCCTGCTAAAAGATTTAAAGGGCCCTCCAGCTGACCGGCAGGGAGCACGCGCCCCGCCGACCAGCTGATGCCCTTTACATCTTTTAGCAGGGAAGGAGAGGGGGTGGCCATGGCTTGGGGGCGGGGCTTCCCCAGTGGCCAGCTGGCCGGGGGCGGATTTGAGACCCCAGGAGGAAACCCCTCCTGGACCTGGGGACTGGCAGCCCTATCTGAGCGGGGGAGGAGGAGGAGGAGATTGGATTTATACCTTGCTCTTCAGTTGGAGTCTCAGAGCGTCTTGCAACCTCCTTCCATTCTTCTCCCCACAACAGACACCCTGTGAGGTAGGTGGGGCTGAGAGAGCTCTGAGAGAACTGGCTGCATGTGGGGGAGTGGAGGAGCCCTCCCCCTGTTCTCCAGATTGGAGTCGGCTGCTCTTAACCACTACATCAAGCTGGCGTTACCTGGAGGTCTGGGGGTGGAGCCTGAGCAGGACGGGGCTTGGAGAGGGACTTCAGCTTGGTACAAGGCTATAGAGTCCACCCTCCAAAGCAACCATTTTCTCCAGGGGAACTGATCTTGATTACCTGGAGATCAACTGTAATATCTAGAGAGCTTCAGCCAACACCTGGAGTTCTCACCCCTCCCTGTGAAACAACCAGCTTAGACGTCTACTATGAAACAGGCTTGAAAACTGTTTTCAAACTGTTTCCTAGTTATTAGAGATAGGTGAAGGTAAGGAGCAGAAATGGGTCAGATTTGAGAATTAGGTCAATAACAACATAGGGCGATTTGGGATCTTCTCTAGAGTTACTGGAAAAGACCTTAAATCAATTAAAGGACCCAGACATTCAGCACTAGAAGCCTGGAGTAAATGGCAGCCCACATGGTTAAGAAGGAACTCTAGATGGGCACCAATAGAGTCCATCTATAGCGAAATAAGCGAAAATAAATGGTGGCAGTTGCTAAGATCTAAAGGGTATTATAGATTGGGAGACATGTTTAGGCAAGGCAATCTAAAACCGGTATATGAAATAGTCGAAGAAATAGGTAAGCAACATTGGCTTAAAATAACAGCACTCCATAGTATGGTAAAAAAGATTAACGATAAAGAAGAAATCTGGTCAGAGGAACCAATAGAAGAAATATACAAAGGGATGCAAAAGTAAAAACAAGGACTAGCAGGGAAAATTTACAGGAAAATGATATCAGATAAAGATAAGACAATAACCTATTTACAAAAAAACTTTGATGAAAGAAGGTCAGATAACAGAAAATACGGCAAACAAAATTATGAAGGGAATAGAGGAAATTAAAGTGGTTAAATTTAATGAAATGGAGTATACATTTTTCACAAAATGGTACAGAACACCAGCGCAGTTGGCAAATATGTTCCCAGGAGCGAGCCCCATGTGTTGGCACTGTAATCAGGGTAAGGGCTGGTTTTCCCACATGTGGTGGGAATGCCCAGAGACTAGAGCTTTTTGGACAAAAATTTTACAAATTATAGGGAAAATATGTAAAGTTTCATTGACCATAAACTTTAATCTAATGCTAATGGGTACAATTGGGAACCCAGCAGTAAGTAAGGAGAATCAAGCTACATTTAAAGCTATGATAATAGCAAGTAAAGCAGTGATTGCTCTGGGCTGGAAGGACAAGAGTAAATGGACAGTAGAAATCTGGCATAATTATTTGTTTGATTTTATACAGTCGGACATAATCGCGAAGCTGAGCCGGAGGACCATATGGGCAGAAAAGACCACAGAAATCAGAATGAAATGGAAGACCTACCTAGAATGGATACTAACAGAAGGAAGAAAAGACATTCAGTGCAAGATTCGGACTTTGTGCCCGTGGCTGGGATGAAAGGACTAGTGAACTGGAATAGCAAGGGAAGGGCGGGGGGAGGGGGAGGGTTTATAAAGCGATATGTAATGTATGGGACAAAAGTTAACATGTAATACACATAAAATGTTACATCAAAAATAAAGATTTTTTTAAAAAAATGTTTTCCTTTGCTTGTGTTCTTTGGATCCAGCGTGCCATTTTGTGCCTTGGCTATGCAAGCGCTTATTAAGTAACACGAATCTCAGTTCTTCATTCCTTTGGTATGGTATAGTGCTCAGACCGTTTCTGGACAGGAGCGACA